GTGTTTTCCTGGCTCTAACATTTCAACTACACCTGGCAACCAACTGAGAAAGTAATGAATATAGTCACCTTTCTCTGGCCACCCCCCATGGCCTGTGGCACCACTGTTGAGCCAGCCACCCCCTTTGGCCTTTCCCAGGACCCCTTGGCAGCACTGTTTTCTGGACAGAAACTGTGCCTGTTATACAATAGCTGGATTTTCTAATTACAAGATTGTGAACATTAAGATAATGTCATGCTAATTGGCAGATTAAACTGTTATGAATTTGTATTATGCAAAAAGTATTTGTGCTTAGTTCTAGTAGACTGTAATTCTTTGTTCTCAAGGGAAAAAGAGACTGTGTGATCAAAACTATGCAGTAATGCCCAGTAGGATTTGTAAGAAGGCACCTCCTTCTTGCTTTGTGTTTGTAGAATTCAAAGCGCAATCAGTTATCTGATTTCATTTCAAGACAATATAGCTCCTAGGGGTCGCAGCCTCGGAGATAAAGTGCTAAGGTGGTAACGTATATCTTATGCTGGATATCCTCTGATCCTGGATTGCATAATTTTGGATTTCTCGCTATTTAGGCAATAGCTCTTTGAAACTTAGTCTGCCTGCTGAGGTGCCTGGTTGTAGTTTGCCACCATGACTGCGTGCGATACAGGTGCTTTCTACTTTTTGCATCTTCTCATTCTGGGTCAGGCTCTGCACTGGGTTTCAGCAGGGAAGATCCTGATCTGGCCAGGAGAATTCAGCCATTGGCTCAACATGAAAGTCATCATAGAAGAGCTAATCGCGAGAGGACACAATCTAACTATAGTTACCCACAGTGCTACACCATCAGTGAAGACAACTCAATCTCCGGGCTACAATGTGGACATTATCCAGGTGCCCCACACCAAGCAGGACTTCATCAACCAAATGGATAAATTTGTCAAATACTGGACGTATGAACTGCAAAATGACAACATAATCCAGGCTACTCTGAAGATGAAGGAAATCATTGACTCAGGTACAGAGCAGAACCGCGCCTTGTGCAAGAATCTTTTTGCACGTGAAGATCTCCTGGAGAAGTGGAGTAAAGAAGAATTTGAGGTCCTTCTGACTGACCCCTTGAATATGTGTGGGGAACTTCTGGCCCAGAAGCTTAATTTGCCCTTTATCATTAGTCTAAGGTTCTCTTTCGGGAGTTCCATGGAGCGACTCTGCGGACAGCTCCCAGCTCCACCCTCCTATGTGCCGGGGGTCACCATTTGTCTCACAGATCAAATGGATTTCCTTCAGAGACTCAGAAACGTTTTATTTAATCTCTTTCAGGATCTTCTGTTCAGTCTTGTGACTGCAACAAAGTGGGATTCCTTGTATGCAGAGATTGTGGGTAAGCAGTGATCACTGGTTTCCCAATGAAGTTGTTCTTTCCATGCTGTAATTTATGCAATAGTTTTCAGAAAATCATTTCTTGTGCAGAAAAAATGCACTTGCTCTCAGTCTAGTTGGCGTATTAGGTACCATCTAAATCAAGCAAGCACATCATTTGGAAGTTTTACAAAAGCATTAACGTGAAAAGAGGATTCGAAAAAGTTGGATGTACTTTTGACAGCAGCACTTTTAAATACATTTGTCAGAATTTAGATTTTTCCTTTTTTAATAAAAGATTTTTATGAGGTGTGTAAACATGGCTAAAGTTTCAAAAGTTTATGTTCACTCCCCAGTTCATACAGTTCATGTATCAAAAAGTAAATTGAGTGAATTACTCATATAATGTCACGAAAACCAATCCATTTACATAGATCCACTAATTCGGGCTACAGTAACCGAAACAGCCTATTTTTAATTATAGGGAATACAAATATTTTGGAAAAGTTTTGTGTAAATATGAATTACAACTGTTTTTGGTACATAAATCCAGCCAGAAGTGGACTTGAGGGGAAAATATTAAAATACATGAAGAATGTAGGGTAGGCCCTTTAATTCTGACCTCAGCCACTCTCCTGACTTTAAGCCCATTCTTTGTCAAATTGTAAAGTACATTTAAGGTAATGGGTTACAGGCATCAGTTTTCAGAGAATAACCTTAAACATCAGCCTGAATAATTGTTCTAGAGAGGGTCTGGAAGGGAAATCATTCATTAATCAAAGTGCTGTATTGTGCAGTTTGAATCACACACAGCTCTACTGATTTGTTTTTAACTCACTGTACCTTTCTCACAGGCAACCGCTGATAATCCCCTTCATCACAAGGTTCACATCCCAGTTGCACAATCGATGGGGTGTGCGCTGGCCTTTCTCCCACAGCGATCATTTTTCATATGTTGTACAAGGTGTACCACCAGTTCCTAATCATCGAGACACTTAATTACAGTAAACAAGTGCTAGAAAGGGCCGAGTAGGTTTTTAATGCAAAACTGTTCATTGGTCAAACAGAAAAGTGAGTCAGTGTATTTTTTAAAAGCCTTACATGGTGGAGAGATACATGTAGGGTGATATAAGGCAAAGTAGTCCTAGATTTACCACTATTTTACAATTCTCAACATTACATATAAACACTCAGAAGACGTGTAGGTTCACTGGTGATTTTGGACGGCAAAAAATGTCTATATTTGTGTTTAAGACATTGTGACCCCTGGTTCCTATCACCACCACTGTAGAAAAATCTGAATCTGTAAATTTCTCTACAATGAACCATTTCACTTTAAACCACTTTGAAGGACTTTACAACTTCTTTGAAGGAATTTACATCTCAATGATTGAATTTAGCATATATTTTAAAAACTTGGTGGAATTGTCCTTTAAGTAGGTCATTCTTAGTAATTGCATGACTTGCTCTGACTTGGACCTCTTTTGCCTGTTCCAATACTGGTTTTAACGTGCCCTCGTCCACTAGGCTGTTGTTATTTATCCTCCGGGGATCAAACTGTATTAGCTCAACTTAAGTGTCGACATCAGCTGCTATTTAAATTTTTCTGCATTAATCAATGGGAAATTTTGTTAAAGGTGCCACTCTAGAGAAACTTACAGAGTCAGAATTCTTCACAATGGTGGTGAAAGGAACCAGATGTCTGAAGCCTTTAGTGCCTCTAAAACCCTTGTGTCAAACACAAGGCCAGATCAGGCCTGTGGCACAATCCTATTCAGCCCTTGAAATTATTTAGATTTTCTATTAATATGAGCCAATTTCACAATGAGGTGCACTACAATCCCCAGCATGCACAGCAACGTAATTTGCACTGACACCCCTCTCCCCCAAGCGACAATCTGTGGGACAGCAGTTTTCTACCCAATTCCACACGTCACATCAACAAACACGCTACCTGCATTTCAGCTGGAGTTTAACCAACATGAACACCATGAACACTATGAACACTCAGCAGCTCAGAAACTGGTCCCAAGAATTAGTGAACTTGTGGCAGAAAAGATGTCAGGTGACTAGATCAAGTACGCAGGTACGTTTAAAAGACTTACATCTGACTACATGTGCTGACCAATGACCAACCTGATTCAGCCTTCATGAACTGAATCCAGAGCATTAGATGAGGGTAAACACTGATCTCCTCAGCACTTTGGCCCAGAAGGTCCCCAGTTTGACATGCCTGCTCTAGTGCTAGTTGTGATCTTCAAGAAGCTACTATACACAAGGAAAACAATTTCTCTGATCAAGCACATCAATGCTTAAATTACCTAAAGCAGTTCATGACATCATTTTTGTGCCCTGGGTCTTCTTTGCTGGATTTTTCGTTTCATGATGCGCCAGATGTTTTCTATTGGGAAAGGTCTGGACTGCAGGCAGGCAAGTTCAGCGCCCGGACTCTTCTTCTGCGAAGCCATGCTGTTGTAATGGATGCAGTGTGTGGTTTAGCATTGTCTTGCTGAAATATGCAGGGCCTTCCCTGAGAGAGACGCTGTCTGGATGGGACAATATGTTGTTCTAAAACCTCTATATTCTGTTCAGCATTGATAGTGCCCAGATGTGTAAGCTGCCCACACCATAGGCACTAATGCAACCCCACACCATCAGAGATGCAGGCTTTTGAACTGTGCGCTGATAACATAGCTGGATGGTCCCTCTCCGCTTGAGTCTGCAGGACATAGCATTCATGGTTTCCAAAAAGAATTTAAAATTTTGATTCATCTGACCACAGAACATTTTTGCCTCAGTCCATTTTAAATGAGCTTTGGCCCAGAGAAGATGATGACATTTCTGGATCGTGTTGACACATGGCTTCTTCTTTGCCTGATACAGCTTTAACTTGCATTTGTAGATTGCACAGCGAACTGTGTTCACAGACAATGTGTTCCTGAGCCCATGCAGTGATTTCCAGTACAGAATCAGACCTGTTTTCAATGCAGTGCCACCTGAGGGATCGAAGATCACGAGCATCCAATATTAACTGTCAGCCTTGTCCTTTGTGTACAGGGATTTCTCCAGATTCTCTGAATCTTTTGATGATATTGTGTACTGTAGATGGTGGGAAATCCAAAATCTTTGCAATTTTGCCTTGAGAAACATTTTTCTGGAATTGTTCCACAATTGTTAAACACAGTTTTCGCAGATTGGTGAACCTCTGCCCATCTTTGCCTCTGAGAGACTCTGCCTCTCTAAAATGCTCTTTTTATACCCAGTCATGTGAGTTAGTTACAATATGCTCCTCCAGCTGTTTTTTATTAGTACAACTTACTTTTCCAGCCTTTTGATGCCCCTGTTCCAACTTTTTTGAGATGCGTTGATGCCATCAAGTTCTAAATGAGTGAATGTTTTTCATGAAATGGTAAAATGTCTCACTTTTAACATCTGATATGTGTTCTATGTTCTATTGTGAATAAAATGTGGGTCAATGAGATTTGCCTTAGTAAATAATTAGTCTTAAGACGTATACATGACTTTTAGCCAGATTCCACAAAAGTATCCCTTTGGAAAACATTACAAGACCATTACATAAATTTGCTTGTGACTTAGGTTCATGTCCTTAGCAGGATTCAGAATATAAAGGTCATTTTGTTCTGTACGGTGGGTGGTCCAGTTTGGGGCTCCTGGCCTCTCCCTGGGTGCTTATCAACATGCTGCATTTAAAATTGTTTGCTAAGGTGTCTGGTTCTACTTTCCACCATGACTGCGTGCAAGCGAGCTGCTTTCTACCTTTTGCTTCTTCTCACTCTGGGCCAGGCTCCGCACTGTGTGACAGCAGGAAAGATCCTCGTCTGGCCAGGAGAATTCAGCCACTGGTTTCATTTCAAAGTCATCATAGAAGAGCTGATCGCAAGAGGACACAATGTGACTATAGTTACTTACAGTGCTACACCATCAGTGAAGACAACTCCGTCCTCAGGCTACAATGTGGACATTATCCAGGTGCCCCACACCAAGCAGGACGTCATTGACCGAATGGATAGATTTGTAAAGTACTGGACATATGACCTGGCAAATGACAACATAATCCAGGCTACTCTGAAGATGAAGGAGCTCATCGACTTGATGTCCCAGCAGAATGATGTTTTTTGCCGGAATCTCTTTGCTCGTGAAGATCTAATGGAGAAGTGGAATAAGGAAGAATTTGAGGTCCTTCTAACTGACCCCATGACTTTCTGTGGGGAACTGCTGGCCCAGAAACTGAACCTGCCATTTATCATCAGTCTGAGATTCTCTTTTGGAAGTGCCATGGAGAGACTCTGTGGACAGCTGCCAGCACCACCCTCCTACGTGCCGGGGGCTGCCCTCGGGTACACAGATCAAATGGGTTTCCCTCAGAGACTGGAAAACTTCTTGTTTTATCGTTTTCAAGATTTAGTGTTCAGTCTTGTGACCAGAATATGGGATCACCTGTTTACTGAAATGAGGGGTAAATGATGATTTCCTTTTTTAAGTTTTCCTAAGCATGCACATTCTCTTTCTGTTTTGAAAGTTTTCAATTACAGGTTCGGAAAATAATGTAGATGAAAACAAACCAGAAATGAATCTCTCAGTCTAGTTCTCCTGATCCTCAACATACGACCTTGCGTACCCTATAAATCAGGGTGCTAATTTTGTCAAGTTCTGAGGCGCCTTTACCACAGTCAGCCTGCGATAATCACCTTTATAGGCATACAAGATCATAGTCACACATGTTCTTCATTTTTTTTTTTCTTTTTAAATTGAGGTCTCTAGCCTTTCACCTGACTGCAAGCTCATACATCAGGGTTTATGGAGCTGAAAAGTACGTATGTAAAACAAAGATGCCCCCTGCTCTGTGTTGTTTGCCCCCATACACTACCAGTGAGCAGTGTAGTCAGAGGTCAGAGTGAGTTTGTCAGTTGCATGCAGGCTAAAGGTAGAGATAGTGACAAGCGTTTAGGTCATTGTGCACAATTTTATCCTGATATTTTAAGTTAAATTAATTTAAGTTAAAAGTAAAATAAATGAAAATCTAGTCAAATAAACCAAAAGTTAAAGTGAGAGTGTGTTGCTACTTGCCTGCCCGAGAGGGAGCTCTGCTCTTTCTGCTTCTCAGCATTAGAAAACTAGAAAAGGAGCGTCTGGAGATGCATCTGATATCAGTATGAATTACACCCTTTAAAACAAAAGTAGCTCTTCAAGCATTCTTCAGTAAAGGCAGTGGTTATTTATAAAACTGTGGCAACTCAAAGAACCATTTAAATAAACAGTTCTTGGTTAAATGTTTTTTCTCTATGATTAAAAACCTGTTTGTGGCAGGATCTGTGTCCCCTCAGCAAAAACGACAGACCCTAGAGGCAGCATTGCAGAAAGAAGCAGACATATTTTGCTTCTTCTTTCCACAAAACAAACCAAAACTGCTGCTTTTCAGCCGCCTGCACACTTAATACAAACTATGAGACTTTTCAGTCGTCTGACATCTTCGTTAATTTGCAAACATGCCAACTTTGAACTTCTTCTGTCTGTTCAGTTCCCTCCCTCCTCTTTACACTTCACCCCCACCAGCCACTCTTCATGGCCCTGTCATAAAGCACTGTCAGCACTGTCATCGAGGTGTGCAGCCCTCTTAGGCCTCTTAGCCCAGTTAGGGTTCATAGCACTCTACTGGCATCTTGGGAAGAGATTCGTGGAGAGATTTTCAGCAGAACTGAGGAGTCAGATTGCTGTAGTTTTGAAAGTGAAATGTTTTTGTGTTCTTGTTTGATATAGGATTTCAGCTGCTGAACAGTTCGGGGTCTCTTTTGTCATAATTTTTATTTCACAATGTGCCAAATGTTTTCAGTGGTGACAGGGCTGGACTGCAGGCAGGCCAGTTTAGCACCCGGACTCTTTTAATACAGAGCCATGCTGTTGTAATACATGCAGAATGTGGCTTGGCATCATCTTGCTGAAATAAGCAAGGCCTTCCCTGAAAAAGACGTCATCTGGATGGCAGCATATGTTGCCAAAACATGTATATATCATTCAGCATTAATGGTCCCTTCACAGATGTGCACGTTACCCATGCCATGTGCACTAATGCACCCCTATACCTTCATGAATACTTATTTTTGAACTGTGCACTGATAACAAGCTGAGTGGTCTTTAGTCCGGAGTACGCAGTGTCCCTGATTTCTAAAAATAATTTTAAATGTTGATTCATCGGACCACAGGACACTTTTCCACTTCCCCTCAGTCCGTTTTAAAAGCGCTCGGGCCCAGAGAAAGTGGCAGCATTTCTGGATCCTGGATATGTACAGTTTATTCTTTGCGTTTTACAGTTTTAACTTGCATTTGTAGATGCAGCGACAAACTGTTTTCACAGACAGTGTTTTTCAGAAGTGTTTCTGAGCTCATGCAGTGATTTCCACTACAGAATCATGTCTGTTTTTAATTCAGGGCCAGCTGAGGGCCCAAAGATCACAGCCAGCAAATACTGGTTTTTGGCCTTATTCCCTGCATACAGAGATTTCTCTGGATTCCCAGAATCTTTTAATGATATTATGTACTGTAGATTATGAAATCCCAATGTTCTTTGCTATTTTACGTTGAGAAACGTTATTTTTGAATTGTTGCACTATTTGCCGGCGCAGTCTTTCACAGAGTGGTGAACCCCTCCCCATCTTTACTTCTGAAAGACTCAGCCTCTCTGAGATGCTTTTTTATACCCAATCATGTTATTGACCTGTTGCCAATCAACCACCTGTTTTTTTTTAGCATTACAGAACTTTACCAGCCTTTTGTTGCCCCGTCCCAACTTTTTTCAAATGAAATGTAAGGTTTAAATTATGTGCACATCATTGCATTTTGTTTTTATTTACGTTTTGCACAGCGCCCAACTTTTTTGGAAATGGGGTTGTAATTTTCCACCTTCACTTAGCCAAATTCCTCAAAAGTAACTCTTGAGAAAACATTACAAGACCATTACATAATGTTGCTTGTCATGCACTACATATTTATCAAGAAGCTGAGCTTCAGTTGTTGCTAACAAAGTCTTACAGTCAGGGCTTAGATTACAGAAGATTAGGTAGCTTGTATAACATAGTTGGTGTAAGTGTGACAGTAATATTTGTAACCTAACATGATGTGATTCAACATTGTCTCACTGGCATATAGTCATTGCATGTTAAATGCAAGAATCCATTGGGATAAAGATTGGAAAAAGGTATCAAAAATGATTTAAGCTTTTTGTTTACTGTGCTAGAGTTTATCTCGTGGTGCCCTCATACAGTACAGTACAGTAATACAATACAGTAATAAAACTTCCAAATAGCACTTATCCTAGACACTACAGTAAAAAATGTAGTTATAAATTGTACAAGCTGAAAGGACTGGATTAATGAGAACTAGAGACACTAGAGTTTAGAGTTCAGAAAACACCTTTGAAGGTGTGACCTAGGTTCATCTTCTTAGCAGGACTCAGGACATATAGGTCAGTCTGTTCTGTACGGTGGGCTGTGCAGTTTGAGGCTCCTGGCCTCTCCCTGGGCGCTTGTCGACGTGCTGCCTTTGAAATTGTTTGCTAAGGTGTCTGGTTCTACTTTCCACCATGACTATGTGCTGCTTTCTGCCTTCTGCTTCTTCTCACTCTGGGCCAGGCTCTGCACTGTGTGACAGCAGGAAAGATCCTCGTCTGGCCAGGAAAATTCAGCCACTGGATAAACGTCAAAGTCATCATAGAAGAGCTGATCGCAAGAGGACACAATGTGACTATAGTTACTTACAGTGCTACACCATCAACTCCATCTCCAGGCTACAATGTGGACATTATCCAGGTGCCCCACACCAAGCAGGACGTCATTGACCGAATGGATAAATTTGTAAAGTACTGGACATATGACCTGGCAAGCGACAATGTAATCCAGGCTTCTCTGAAGATCAAGGAGCTCATCGACTTGATGTCCCAGCAGAATGATGTCTTTTGCCGGAATCTCTTTGCTCGTGAAGATCTAATGGAGACGTGGAATAAGGAAGAATTCGAGGTCCTTCTGACTGACCCTGTGACTTTCTGTGGGGAACTGCTGGCCCAGAAACTGAACCTGCCATTTATCATCAGTCTGAGATTCTCTTTTGGAAGTGCCATGGAGCGACTCTGTGGACAACTGCCAACGCCACCCTCCTACGTGCCGGGGGCTGCCCTCGGGTACACAGATCAAATGGGTTTCCCTCAGAGACTGGAAAACTTCTTGTTTTATTGTTTTCAAGATTTAGTGTTCAGTCTTGTGACCAGAACATGGGATCACCTGTTCACTGAAGTGATGGGTAAATGATGATCTCCTTTTTTTAAGTTTTCCTAAGCATGCACATTCTCTTTCTGTTTGGAAAGTTTTCAATTACAGGTATAGTCACACATGTTCCTTTTTTGGAGGGCAGCTTCTTCATTTAAATTCTTTTTAAAATTGAGTTCTCGTAACATTTCTTCTTCAACATTTACACAATGGGCCCACTGTGTACGAGGGGTGACTCTAGCCTTTCACCTGACTGCAAGCTCAGGGTTTATGGAGCTGAAAAGTACGTATGTAAAACAAACATGCCCCCTGCTCTGTGTCGTTTGCCCCCATTCACTACCAGTGAGCAGTGTAGTCAGAGGTCAGAGTGAGTTTGTCAGTTGCGTGCAGGCTAAAGGTAGAGATAGTGACAAGCGTTTAGGTCATTGTGCACAATTTTATCCTGATATTTTCTCCCCTTGGTAACAATTAATTTAAGTTAAAAGTAAAATAAATGAAAATCTAGTCAAATAAACCAAAAGTTAAAGTGAGAGTGTGTTGCTACTTGCCTGCCCGAGAGGGAGCTCTGTTCTTTCTGCTTCTCAGCATTAGAAAACTAGAAAAGGAGCGTCTGGAGATGCATCTGATATCAATATGAATTACACCCTTTAAAACAAAAGTAGCTCGTCAAGCGTACTTTAGTAAATTCAGTGGCTATTTATAAAACTGTGGCCATTTGAACCATTTGAAGCATCATTTGAATGCATGAATGGTTCTTGGTTAATGGTTCTTCTGTATGATTGAAAACCTCTTTGTGGCAGGATCTGTGCCACCCAGCAAAAAGACAGACTCTAGAGGCATCATTAGAGGCAGCATTACAGGAAGCAGCAGACATATTTTGTTCTTTTTTCCACAGAACAAATCAAAAATGCTGCTTTTCAGCCGCCTGCACACTCAATCCAATATGAGACTTTTCGGTCGTCTGACATCTTCATTGATTCAAACACGCCAACTTTAAACTTCTTTTCTTCCTGTCCACTGTCTGTTCAGTTCCCTCCCTCCTCTTTATGCTTTACCCCCAACGGCCACTCTTCATGGCCCTCAGAGGCACTGTCATTGAGTTGTGCAGCCCTCTTAGGCCTCTTCCATGCAGATTTGCTCCAGGTTGTTCAGGTTGGTTGGATGACGCTTGTGGACTGCAGTTTTGAGATAGTGCCGCAGATTCTCAGTCAGATTGAGATCTGTACCTTGACTTAGTCATTGCACAATGTTCACCTTTTTGTTGTTCAATCACTCCTGTGTTGCTTTGGCCTTATGCTTGGGGTCACTGTCCTGCTGAAAGGTGAAGTTTCTCTCAAGCTTTAGTTCTAAAGCAGTACTGTTGAGAATCTCTAGGCATCTCACGATTCGATTCGATTACGATTCAGAGGCTACGATGCGATTATAAAACGATTATCGATGCATCTACAGGATTTCGTTTTTCTCACTGTGTGAGGACTTGGAACTTTTAAAGCAAAGTACATGTAATGATCCATAATGAATTTACTTCCTACTCCTACTTCCAGATTACAGCTCTCATACCCGTTTTCTTCAATGATTTCATAACTTCGGTTTGGTCTCATTGTAGAGAGTGTGGGAATCGCTGTGTCAGTAAAATATCTTTGAGACGGGACACTGTGTCTCAGCTACAAAGTGTGCAACACAGTGCAAAAGCCCTGGTTCTCAACAACTGAGTACGGATGCAAATCCTTGGCAGTAAAAGTTGCGATAGAGTTTGTAGTTTGCTTCGTCCTTTTCGATTTGGGTGGAAGCTCTGACATCGCTTGAT